TTTCTTTGATACTAGGAAGATCTTGTTCAACAAAGTGTGGATCGTAACTCTTGTTCGCTTTGCTCAATTGTTTTAACTATTGAGAAAACAATTAATGCAGTAAATGGCCATTGAGTATCTGCCACACTAAAGTGATTATGTCAGGGTATGAAAGTCGGAAAAATGGATAAGAAATAGTACCACCACCTCATGAGGTAAAGTGAGGGTGCTGAAATGAGAAAACCACAGCTTAATCCCTAGCTTTCCCTTCTCCCAGCTGTGTGACCTCGACCAGTTTCTGCATCTCTCTTCTCAGGGGGGTCCAACCTTTTGTCGTCTCTGGGCCACACTGGAAGAAGAGTTGTCTTGGGCCACACCTTAAGTACCCTGCAACGTGTAATCACAAAAGAAACCTCATAGTGTTTTAAGTAAGTTCACAATTTTGTGTTGGGCCACAGGTTGGACACCCCTGCATCACCGCTATCCCTTTGGTGACAGGAGTTTAGTAACAGCGCCTGCCTCCCAGAACTGTTGTAGCAATAAGGAAAAGGCTTTTAATTCGCTGTTTGGATTAGAGGACATGATCAACAAAGAGAGCTAGTTAGCTAGTTTATAGTGGAAAGGCTTCAAGGAAGATGAATGTGTAGAGGGATTGATAGGAAATCAGGAAACGAAACCGGCAGATGCCGGAAAGGGGTGCGTGAACTACACAAGTCAGCACAGCGAGAGGCCAGTCTTGGAAAAGCACTTTTCTTCTTCCTCTTGCCCCTCAGCTCTGCCCCAGCGGAGCCACTGTAACTCCATCACAAAATTATATACCAACAGTAGAGTCTGGATTCGTAATCAAACAGCAGGCTGATTCCTGAGGAACTTGGAGAAGTATTTGTCTTTTGACTCGTCCAACACAAGTGATTTTTGTCTTAAGCAGTTTATTGATTGTAAACATTTGAAAGGACGTCCTACCCCGTTAAGAATACTTCATTTAACAAACACAACACGGAGATCACACTGCTTGGGTGGGAAGGGGAGGTAGTGAGGACCATCTAGGTCCTCCGTTCCTTTTCTCTGTAGATCCTGGCCTTCTTCAACTACGCCTTTCCCCATCTCCAGCCTCCGAAACTGCCAGCCGCAATCAGGGGAACGAAAACCTGAGAGGACTTTGTCATTTCATTCATTTCCAAAATGTTGGATCCATTAACCAAGTATTCAAACACAAGTTTAATGTCAGTTGCAATCATGCCAATTTATAATCCTCAATCATTTTCCATTCCTTGACAGAATATTAATGAATTCTACTCGAACTACAAATAATATTCAGTAACTATTGAATTTTAGTAGAAACACGATTACATTTTCAGATTTATAAAATCCAGACATTTTCAATCGTATAACTCCTCCATCTTAGCAGAATGCATTTTTTTTTTATTTGCTAGGAGGCATTTGTCCACTCCTAACCTTTTTACTCCCAGAAAACAAATGACGCACGTGACTTGACAATTGAATTAATCTTGACTGGAGAAGAAATAATAAAAATAGCTAATGTCTTTATGATCTTCATAGCATGCCTACAGGGCAGCTACTGTTGCTGCTTCTGTTTCCCAAGATGTATCATATCTTGCTAATCCTCAATAAATATGAAAAACTGATCATTTCACAGCTGAGGATCGACAAAGCGGAACACATTGCTCATTGGAATAGAGGAGATAAGCAGGTTACCACCAGCGCCGCCATCTCTGCCTTCGGGCGTGTCGTGTCCCAGGCAGACGCTGTCAGTTCATCCTTAGGTCACGGCTGTCACATCTCTATTTGTCTCTTCCTAGCCCAGAGCTCAGATTCACAAGCCACACGGGGTGGGGGGGGGGCCCTTCCTTTCTTAAGGACCCTTCTGCCAGCTACCTTCTGTAACATCATTTACAGAAATGGGTACCTCCAATTAAACCGTTCCAGGTGTAAATCGCTTGCCTGGAGAGCGAATTGAGTAATGAATGGGATTCATGAATATAAATTGGGCTCTCTTTATACTTAAGTTTTCATTTTGAAATGGTAGCGTGTCCTTCGCTCTCCACATAAATCTTTATTTGCCTTGAGTGTGTTTACTGGTGGGGAGCCCCAGGAAGAGCTGGTGGCCCATTGCTATGCATAACTGAATATTAAAGTTCACAAATCACCAGACCGAGGAGGCCTGGGGAGGGAGACTTGCGGCCTCTGTGTCTCTGCGCTCAGCAAAGACGCATCGCGCTCCCACGGGCTCTGCCCCTTTATGGGGATGAGCCCACACCACCTCCTCATGCATCTCCTGCCCTTGAATATCATCGGATGTGCGCCTCCTCTGCCTTCCAAGACATTCTGTTTGCCGTGTGCCTTAACAGCTCTACTATCATAAGACTTATTTTCTCTTCACTCCAATTTGAGTTTAGAGCCAGTATAACAGTTCAATCTCTCATAAGCCTCCTCGATTTATTTTTGAACAGACTCTGGGAAAGGATGGAAGGATCCATAAGCAAATACATAAATAATAGTTAGAGGCAAGGCCCTGCACCTCTCCTGACCTCCTCTGTCCCCTGCTGCCCTCTCCTCTTCGTGTCCACAAGGTAGCTGTGTGTATTCCTCCAAAGGTCCACGGAGGCCAGCTGGACTTTCACCCATGTGACCAAATTCGAGTCAAAAACTTAAAAGACGTTTCTCTCATTTTCGACCTGTGCTTTGAATTCTCAGCTGGAAATAAGGCTTTATTAAAAAGATTTACCATTCCCTGAACATATATAGAAATGGTCAGGAAGACTGCGGGCCCTGAGTTTTCCACAACTGTACCAAGTTATTTCCTTACGCATTTAACAATTCCTGTTACAATGAATTTGATGTGGCTAGGAATAATGCAAATATAAAATAATAAAAGAGCAACAGACCTTTTTTTAGGGCCAACAGATAAGTGAGTTAGAGTGGAAGACCTAGACAATAGGAAATCATAGAAATCATGTTTTTTTTTTTTAAGCAATTAATGTTAAAAGACATTTCTCCAAAGTGCTTCCGCATAGGAGGCATTCTGGGAAGTAGTGAGAACTATGACATGGCCTCGGTCACAGTTCTTGTTCCCAAGTCTGATGGTTTTTCCCTGCTGTACAAACTGTAAACGTTTTCAGGTATGCTGTCCTCGAGCTGATGGTATTAGTCTCAAACAGACCTGCAGAGCGTGTTAAAGGAAGGCTGGAACTACGTACTGTGGGCACAGTGTAGCTTGTAGAGAGATGGTCATTACTCTTAATTGTATTCTGCGTAGGTGGTGTCTCTATACAAAATTCAAAATAACCCAATACATTAAAACTATGGAAATGAAGCAAGGTGAGTGAGATGAACAGTAGCAACACAGTGGGGCACATTAGGAAAGTCAAGGGTAACTTTCCGCATTCTATACTTGCTCCGCCCACCCAAGCTCCCCCCCTCGGTGCCCATACTGACTACCCCTTGTTTCACCTCCTTCGATGAATCGAGCTCATCTCCTAACTCAGGCACTATTTGCAAGCCGTGTTTCCACGATACGTCTAAGACGGGAGAAGATACTTCTCTGGGTGGCCAAGGACAGTAAAATACTGTCCTCTGTAAAGACTGTACCACAACTGTATCCTTCTCCCCATCCTCAGTATAAAGGTAGAACTCTCACATGCACTCAGAACACAGGTAATACATTAACAATGCATGGTGATCTGAAATTTTTTTACCTTTTGTTTCGGTTTTATAAATCTAGTTGTAAGACTTAGTTTAGTGTTCATGTTAAGAAAATCTGAGACTTTGCCCTGGCTGGTGTAGCTCAGTGGATTGAGTGCAAGATGCGAACCAAAGCATCGCAGGTTCGATTCCCAGTCAGGGTACATGCCTGGGTTGCAGGCCATGGCCCAGCAACCGCACACTGATGTTTCTCTCTCTCTCTCTCTCTCTCTCTCTCTCTCTCTCTCTCTCTCCCTCCCTTCCATCTCTAAAAATAAATAAATAAAATCTTTCAAAAAAAAGAAAGAAAGAAAATCTGAGACTTTAAAGATTCCCCTCAGTGAACTGTACTAAGAGGCAGCCACAATTATTCCCAGATATGCGGTGTGGTTAATAACTCGGGCTCTGGAAGGACCTTATTTTTCAGACAGCTGAAAGTGAATTGGTTTCATTTCTCCGCCACCATCGATTTCACCTAAATCATCACTTTCTTTCCGACATTTATAAGAATGGTTCACAGCCATACTTAAAGAATACCTAAACTACTTGTGGCAGTGACTAAAATAACTAGAACAAATAGAAGTTGGTTCACTGAAAGAAAAAGAACCAAACCAATGATCCTTGCAGAAGGACACAAACAGATGCATGTGTTAAACGCTGCACTCTGTACCACCTGTTCTGGGTACACGGTCACTCACCGGAGTGCGTTACCAGAACTGTTGTCACAGAACAAAAGCACGCCATCCTCTCACTTGCAGTGACAGCCTCTTGTCTAAGGAAGCGGATGTTGAACCAGTCAGGGCAGTGAATTGTTTTGTTCATGAGGACACAGGAAATAGAAAGCACGTGAAGTTAACAGGCTATTTGGTGGCCTTTGGGTGAAATGAGGTTGTGCAGAAAGGTGACAGAATAAGAGAATGAGTCCATTTAATTTAAAAAAAAATAATAATCTGTGAATTCTCCAAGTATCATGGAGACCAAAGCAAAAGACATATTGGAAAGATATCATTTATAGCTGTTAACTGATGTCAACAGAGGCGCCTGTGTTTGCGTCACGAAAAATTCACCATCGCCACAACATGCTCACTGGACCACCTGTACAAAAATGGAAATATCAGTCAGTCATTTGGAGCCACCCTCTTGTCCCCTCTTAGAAGCAAAAAAAAAAAAAAAAATGCAGTCATACAAAACAAGCATTTGGATGACATGGAGACTGAGAGGTCTGAGGGTCAGCTTGTAAACAGGTGCTCTCATCCCCACCAAATACCACTTGTGTTTTTCCTGGTACAACCTGGTCAAAAGGTTGTTTTTCTTTGCAGGTTACCAGCCGGTCTTGTCTGGTCAGCAGGGGTTCCAAGGCCTCATGGGAGTGCAGCAGCCGCCCCAGAGTCAGGGTGTCATGAACAACCAACCAGGAGCTCCGGTGCAAAGTGTGATGGTCTCCTACCCAACGATGTCTTCATATCAGGTGCACGTCGGCAGCTTGGAAACTGCGGGTGATAACGTACATCCCTGTGCCTGGGTGGGGGGCAGTGCTGGGCATGGACACTGTCAGAGGTTGGCTTTGAGACGAGGATGTAACAGAAGTTAGAAAATGGGAAATGCATGCTTCGAGCATTACTGTGACTTGTGGACACCCTGCAGAGTGTAGTTCCGTATAAACTGCAAGAAAATTCTTTAGTCTAAACTTTTGTTCATGATGACCTTTGGGTGTTCTGTGGGAATTTTGCTTATTGGGAGAAAGCCCTCATAACGAATTCCCATTCATTTTTGTATACCCCCTGAAAAAAACTTCATTTTATCACAGTTATAAGATTCATTTTACCACAATTCTGTTATAAGAGATGTAAGAATGAATCTCAGATTGATTCGAAGGGCATTTATGGTACCTAACAATGACATTTTCCAGACCAAATCCATACTGGGTATTTAAAAAGTGTTCTATACCCTTCTGTGATTTGCATCCTGAAGTACCCCAGAAGCAGAATGAAGGGTTAGCAAAATGCTTTAATCCTTGCCTTTTGCTGCTCCAGACAACCAGGTACTTCGGGCCCTAACAAACCGTATTCACATTGTATCAACGTCTTCCTCCAGCTCCATATTCAATGCTCCCGAAAGCTGCAGACTGAGTCAGGTGCCCGGGACAAAAAGCCCCTCTTGCTACACAAGGCTACAGGCCACTTTGTTGGCATAAAACCAGAATAGGAGCCTGGCTCTCCAAACAGAGAAATCCAGAGTGGGAGATGCAGAGTGCTTGCTGCCCCTGGGCGGTCACAGGAGAGGAGAGGCTCAGAACTAACACCTCTGCAGACTCACTGCCTGCCAGATGTGCTCCAAGCATTGCACATCGTCCTTGCAATCTTCCCAGTGGCACTGGGAAGTAGGTGACGTTATGCAAATGGTCTAGGCAGGGGTGACCGACCTTTTGGCATGTCTGGGCCACACTGGAAGAAGAGTAGTCTTGGGCCACACATTAAATACACTGTGACACATAATCACAAAAATATCTCATCAGGTTTTAAGTAAATTTACGATTTTGTGTTGGGCTGTGTTTACAGCCATCCTGGGATTCATGTGGCCCACAAGCCAGGGGTTGGACACCCCCGGTCCAGGGAATCAGAGAGGTTAAGTGACTTACCCAGTGGGAAACAGCTCATAAAGGTAGAGCTGAGACTGGTGAACCCAAAAGCCTGAATATCTTTCACGACATCACAGTAGCTCATCGTGTGCCCCAAAATAACCTCTTCATGAAGGGTTCTCCCTTGTGTCTTCCTCCAGGTGCCAATGACCCAAGGTTCTCAAGGACTGCCCCAGCAGTCATACCAACAACCAATCATGCTACCTAACCAGACAGGTCAAGGGTCACTCCCAGCCACCGGAATGCCTGTTTACTGTAACGTCACGCCGCCGACCCCTCAGAACAACCTTCGGCTGATGGGCCCCCACTGCCCCTCCAGCACCGTCCCCGTGATGTCGGCCAGCTGCAGGACGAACTGTGCGAGTGTGAGTGACGCCGGCTGGCAGGTCAAGTTCTGAGCGCTCTGGCTGCGGTGGCTTTCTCCGGATACTGCCCACGGCCTTTACGGGAAGAGGAGCAAGGTGGGAAAAACTGGCCGAGGACTTACGTATTCACTCAACACTCAAATGATTGCTGCTGGTATTCTGTAAAAACAAAAAAAACACAATACAAACAAAGACTAATACACACATTAGCTGGTAAATGGTGCATATTTCTGTCATGTCTGCTAGGTATGCCTTTGTAGCTTAGCTAGTGACATGAATTCATCAAGGTAAGATTTTCTCCTACCACTGAACACCACTGTGTAGACGATCCTCTCCCTACTTTGGATTATTAGTTTTGTACTTTGTGTTGAGTTTGTGATGCTAAAACTATTTAAAAATTATATACTGAACTCATATTGTACCAAAGCTGTCATGGGGAAAAAAGCAAAGAATTGATGAATGGAAGGAATAATTTATATACACTATAGAGTTTTCTTTTTTTAATGGATATCTACTGTATTGTAGTGTTTAACCAAAATAAAACTATTTGACCTTGCGGAGGAAGGTCATGTTTTTACCACCAGTTTGGTTCAGTCTCTCTTCCGTGCGTGTGTGTACGTGTCACTGTTTCCCTCTCTGAGCCCCGTTGCATGACTAAGGCATGAAGACGATGTTCTGGGCATCTGTCAGTGAGCTGGAATCACGCACGGGAGACGTGGTCGGCCAACACTTAGCCAGCTGTAGTTCCTTCTCCTAACGCAACAGGGTCCTGCAGGTGGGACGGCATCTGTTTCATCTACTCACTGGCTTCGCATTTTTGAACTGTGCCCATGGGTTTTAGTTTTAGGGCCATCGGATGCACGTTCCTACACTTCCCCTGTGAGGACGAGCCGCATGGCCTGGTGGCAGCCGCCCCATCCCCAACTCTGTTCCCACCTTTGTTCACGTTCCACCACCTACCTGGAGAACAAGATTCCTCGGTTCAAAGGGGAATTAGAAGAGGAGGCACAGTCTAAGTCCACCGATTATATGGGGTCCTGGGATGTTGATGCCACTAGTATTCACTCAGACGTGCTAACAGTTGTTCGAGTGACTGCAAACAAGGTGAAACATAGCAATGATGTAGTCACAAAGAGTCAGAACGTGGGCAAAAGCGTTTAAAAGAGGCTTGCTGCCGCCTGATCCCAAAACGTTTCATCCCCTGGAGATCCTACAATGAAGACGGCTTTGACGAATAGTAACAGAACTCTCAGTGTCGGCTTTGGCCCCCTGATTGATATTTAGTCGGGTAGTAAAACCCCAAAGTTTTCACTTTACCTTCACGGCACAGTGACTAGTAATTTTGTATTTTATACTTTCTGCCCTAAAACTATTATTAGCAATACGAGGGATTTGCAAACTATATCTGGATAGTCCCCATTGTTTTTCATATTATCTCATTCTTTATATTAGATTTTTCTATTTTCATATTGTTTCGCTGGACATAGAGTTAAGCAACTAGTTAAGTACACTGCCAGCCCTGGCTGGTGTAGCTCAGTGGATTGAGCGCGGGCTGCGAACCAAAGTGTCGCAGGTTCGATTCCCAGTCAGGGTACATGCCTGGGTTGCAGGCCACGGTCCCCAGCAACCGCACATTGATGTTTCTCTCTCTCCCTCCCTTCCCTCTCTAAAAATAAATAAATAAATAAATCTTAAAAAAAATACTTTTCATTTGTTTAAAAAAAAAGAACACTGCCTAACTGATCACCATTTCTTAGTTTTATCCTATCATTTTATTTTTCCTTTACCCATACTCTCATTAGCTTCATCTCTTGTAAAGTCTGCCCCATTTCCCCAAATCTCAGCGTACTGGTTTCTTCATGTAAATAAGCCCTAACTATGAAAAATGTTATAAAAAGGGGATATTGTTTTTTTTTTTTTTTTACCGAGCCATTAAACCAATAAGCTGAGTGACTGTTAAACCAACGGCTGCTCTGAGGAGCAGCCAAGGGCTTGCCCCAGTAACACCCTCCCCCGATGCGGGGAGGGGTGACCTGGACAGACTCAGGTTTTACATACGTGCTCTGTTTAGCCGTCTGATCTTGGCAGGGTTCCCAAACTCACGGATCCAAATATGAGTCTGAATGTTCATCTTCTTTTCCTAGAATTCTGGGAAATTCTGATCTTTCCTGTAATGATTCCTAGAATCACTGAGCCTCATTTCCCATCGATTGGAGCCATACATCATGTTCGTGGTAAAGATGGACTGCCTTTCTCTTCGGCCACTCTTCTCCCATGTGTCACACACTTCCATGTTTAGGTATTTGGCTGTTTAAAAAAAATTGTTAGCCCTGGCTGGCATAGCTCAGTGGATTGAGCGCGGGCTGGGAACCAAAGAGTCCCAGGTTCAATTCCCAGCCAGAGTACATGCCTGGGTTGCAGGCCATAACCCCCAGCAACCGCACATTGATGTTTCTCTCTCTCTCTCTCTCTCTCTCTCAGTCTCTCTCTCTCTCTCTCTCCCTCCCTCCCTCCCTAAAAATAAATAAATAAAATCTTCAAAAAAAATTGTTGACATGATGACAGATGTCCCTCATTTTTCCCTCCTTTGCCCCACTCCACCCAGCCCCATCCTCCCCCTTACCCCCCGCCCCCGGCTTCACCACATTTTGTCTGTGCCCATGGGCCATTCATACATACATACATGTTCTTTGGCTCACTCATATGCAGAAGCTAATTAGAACAAAATATACTGACAAAACCAGAGGCATGGATCCATAGAACTGACAGATTTCAGAGGGGAGAGGGGTGGGGGAGACTGGAAGAGATTAGACATTTGGCTTTAATTACGTAAGTCTTTTTGGATACTATTTCAGACTGAGCCTTCTCCTGTATTTTCACTAAATGTTGACATTCAGCATTATCCCAAATCTTTTGTTTACTGTCTTTTACATTAGAATATTTATGACGGTAGAGTAGAGATGGTTTTATTAGTGAAGCATCTGGAGAATTTAATTTATTCTCAGAACTCTCCACTTTTTCGTGTTGGTTAATAATCTCTTCACAATCACATTTTCTATTTCTGTTTGTCAGCTTAGGTAGGGATACATGGACACACATATGCACATGCACAGATACGGTCATTCCTAGCAATCCTCTGTACCTCTACGTGAGTAGAAAGAATGAATGACTTTCGCTTTCACTTATTCAACAAGTATTTTTGCATATTTGATTATATCCAAATTATGTGGCACCATTCAAAATAAGTACAAATAGTTTTTAAAAGCACTTAGATTTATTCTTGTAAATGTAATCATACATTTGGTTATTCTGTGATAGTTGGAACCAAATGTTCTAACTAGGATACCAACAAATTTCAGCCAGAGTTATTTCATTAATATACTTCCACAGGATGTGGGGTGGGAGTTGAAGAGTGTGTTATAAAATGTGATGGAAATGGAACTATGTAATTAATTATAAGTACGGTTGGAGGGCTTAGAATAAAGTTATAAATCATCATAACAAAATAAGTGGGGTACATATGAGCCAGAGCAGCTTTACAAGAGAAATTCAAGAGGCCCTGGTGGGGTAGCTCAGTTGGTTAGAGCATCGTCCCGGTACACCAAGGCTGCAGGTTCGAGCTCTGGTCAGTAATTCACAAGAAGCAACTAATAAATGCATAAGTAAATGGAACAACAAACCAGTGTCTCTTTCCTCCTCTACCTCTCCATTTCTCTCCCTCTCTTTCTCTCTCTCTAAAATGAATCAATAAATCTTTTTAAAAAGGATATATTTGAAGGACAAACCAAACACAATTGGGGGAGAGATTGTTGCAGCAGAAATGGCTGTGAGATCTCATAGATGCCTCCCAAGGTTCTGCTCCCGCAGTGCCAGCAGCTAGAGGGTGATGGATGCTTTCATCCTCCCATCCTCCCGTGAACCCGTATTCCGTGTGCACAGGTACCTGCTGTGGACAGAGGGGCACCCCCGCCCCTCACCTGGCCCTGGCACTTGCCATCATAGACAACATGATCACTTACAGACCAAAAAAAGAAAGTACTGTAAACACCTCACCCGAAAGGTGGAATTAAAACAAATTGTTTTGGTTTTGCATCGAACTAGTATCTTAGAAGAGCACTTTCTCAATTATTTCTATGGAAGACTCCTTTCTTGAGATACGTAGAGTTGTTATATGAAAAAGACCACGGACACTAATTATTGGGAGGCATAATTAATGAAGGTTAAGCAATCTTTTTAAAAGCTTTCTGATTTCTCCAAGCCATTAATCTATCACTTTATATCATGAATTTCCGAGAGGGAGACGTACTATGCGCAGTTCCTCAAACTTAATTGAACCCAACATCCATTGATCACAGACTACATCAAAAGACTAAGGTCATGAAGAACATATATTTTTAAAAGATTATATTAGAGCATCTTTTTTTTAAGATTTTATTTATTTATTTTTTAGAGAGGGAAGGGAGGGAGATAGAGAGAAAGAGAGAAACATCAATGTGTGGTTGCTGGGGGTTCTGGTCTGCAACCCAGGCATGTGCCCTGGCTGGGAATCGAACCTGCGACACTTTGGTTTGCAGCCCACGCTCAATCCACTGAGCTATGCCAGCCAGGGCTGGTTACTTCATTTCTGTATCAACCACGTCACGTATCGAAATGCAACATCGCACCCCTACTTCCAGCTATGGCAACTTTCCACGACTGTCAACACGATGTCCTCCAAGAATGTGTGAGCCTGGAAAGCAATGCCATACCGCCACTATTTCTGGGCCTTTTTGTTTTCACAATTCTTAATGTTGAAGGAGTTTTCAGAATTCATTATATTCGTCTATAAATCACTAAAAGCAAAGGTCATGAGTCACAGGCCTCTTGTGAAAAATGCACGTAAAGGTAAGTTTTTAGAGAAGGAGCAGTTGGCTTTGCTTGCAGCTCTATGAGGCTTTTGACCCCACGTAGATGACATCTGGGCCATGCAGACATGAGGGCGGGTGAGTTACAATGCCAGCCAAGAGAAATAAATGCCGGAAGGAAAAGGAAAGACAGACGGAAAGCCTGAATAGTCTAATTCAGGCTGATCAGAGTTATACAGAAGGAAGGGACAGGATGAATACTTGGAAATTCACAGTGGGCCTGGCGGGCATGACCTTGAAAAGCAGAAGTTAACAGGCAAATGGGAGTTTCTGAAGATTTTCGAATGGAGAGTAATACAGTCTCAGCCATGGTTTATAAAGAAGTGTGGGCCTCAAAAAGGGGGACGGGCCAGACTTGAGAAGGCTCTTCGTTCAGAAACTGGAGATGCACACAGTAGTTGAGATCCGGCACCGAGCTGCCCCTGCAGCACTGTGGGGTAAATCGGAGTGAGCACTAGTGATTGACACCCAGCGATCCCACCGTGTGCCTGGCAACGCTTTAGCGGCATGTGTTTTGTTTTTGCTCCTCAGACAGACACTGCTGCATCTAAGTGCCCTGTCTGAAGCTGCATGACAAGGCGTAGTTACTGTAGCCTGTCAGGGTAAAGCAGATGAAGACAGCCGAAATTACAGGCGCCGTGGCAAGGCTGCCAAGTCTCCGTCACGG